CCATTGTGTATTTAACTTGAATCATTGTGTATTTAATTCAAATTTTGCTACAATAGGCTCCGTTCTTAACTATGGGTCATCCTTACACAGGGCATTCTTAACCTAGGAACTACCTGTAACCCAAAAGGTTTTACAATTCATTTAAAAGTTCTGTAGGGTTTTTTTTTTTAAAGCTATTTACATTATTGGGTCTGCCATTTTTAGAATATTACTTTGTGAACCCAAGAGAGCACTCTAAATCTGTGCTTTGATCAGCAACTACACCAATATGGCTGTAAGAAGTATGGGTACCAGCACATGATTGGGGGGAAAATACATGGGAGAAAAAGGCAGGGCAAATATTCTATTGATTCAATAGCTCACCTTTTCTCCAATGAACATAAGGCAGTGTAATTTTTCCTGCCCCATTTTTAATGTTCACAACAATACAGGGAAGTTGGTTTTGCTGAGAGATAAGAAGCAGCCCAGCACCATCCAAAGGCTGAACTGAGATTTGAACTTGGGCCCCCCTGATGTCATCAACTTGGCCAGAAGCCACTGCAGACTGGGTAGAAACAAGAGGTAGACCAGGGAGCAAAATTACACCCATGTATCTCCCTCACACCTCAAAAAATAAAAATAAAAAATACAGTGTCTTTGTATTCCATGCAGTGGAATAAAATAAAATAAAAACATATAGCAGCCTATCTCAATCTGTTGCTAGAATATAATTTCATAATCTCTAGCCAATGATCGTTTTAAGAGGGATAAAAAGACGACCATTCTGGAAAGCCCAGTCAGAAAAATCTATTCTGAAAAATTTCTGTTCAGTGCTATCATGTAGAAAATAAGATTGGGGGCAGGGTGGAAGAGAGACAGATCTCAAACGTAACCACACAGAATTCTATACAACACAGCTCTCACACAACGCTATAAATATCTGTGTTGCCAGAATAAATTAAATCACTTGATCAGCTTATTTAGGCTAATTTGTTCCACTTACCAAATACAGCATTTCAAAAAGTATTATTACTATAGGCAAAGACCTTTGGCCACAGGGAAGCAGGTTGCTAATATCCCTCACTGAAGCTCAACAGGAAATCAGCCATTTCACAGCAGCCTAGCACAGCCAAAATATATCAACTGTATTGGAACCAGAGGTCTGTCCTGGTGACTTTGTAGACACACAAGAGGGAAAAAACAGAACAGAGAAAAGGGGGGGAGGGAGGAGGGAGAATTTGCTTCTAACACCAGAAGCTGTAAACCCACCTATATCAACAATATATACAAAATATTACTACAGCTAATAAACTAACAGCTTGTTCTTAGATGGCTTTTTCATTGCTTGTATATGTGCATGTGTATGTGTGCGTGTCTCGGTATAACATATATTTTATATCCACATACATATCAAACACAGCTATACAGAAAGATTACATGGTGACGAGAAATTGTGCTTCTTTTTACTAAACATTAACTCTCCCATCTTGTGATGATCCAAGGGGCCTACTTCAACTAGCATAAGCAAAGAGATATGTGGTGGTGATGGTAGTATGTGTGCGTATACACACAAACACTCCCACACATGTATTTGACAGCCAGATGTGCCTCTTTGCAGAAATTCTTGACCCTAATCCGGGCTAAGTCAATTTATTGCTCATGTCCTATTCTAGAAAGCAGCCTTGTTCCAGAGAATGGGAGTGCCCAGCATCACCACTAAGAGGCAACCATACAGCTCTCTTCAAATAGCTGAAATGTACGATGCAGAAAAAGGAGCAGGCGTGTTCTCTGTTGCTCTAGAAGGTAAGAATTGAAGCAATGGGTAGAAGGGCCAAGGAAGAAGACTGCAGCAAAACATTAGCACATCTAAAATATTAGTGGCTAAGAACTGCTGGATGGTGGAATTAACTTGCCTCAGAAGAAAATGGGATTTCCTTTGCTGAAGGTATTAAGCAACTTGGAGAGCCAGCTGTCAAGGGGAGCTATACTTGCACATTCTTGTACTGAATCTGCATGTATGTGTGTGCGCGTGCACATTTACATGCAGACTAGATAACCTCAATAGTTAGTTTCATTTTTAAATTCTACCATTCTTAGAATTGGGAAATAGATTGGAGCTGAACGGCAAAGTCTGGTTCAGCAAGGTAGGGCTACCTGCTCTAAAACCCTCCCAGGACTCAGCAGCTGGAGAAATTAACCCACCACTGCTCTGCCACCTGAGGTCTACAGTTTTAGAATGTGGGTTATTTATACAAACCTTCTGGGGAAATCACAAAGAACCCCAATGCTCCCTGCGCATGAACCATATGGACTAGAACCCAACCCCTCAAGCCCACACCTTTGACCTAGGCTGTCACCCACATAAAGGACAGCCTTTACCTCTAAACATGTGAAGAAGGAGACCCTCCACTAAATCTACAAGGGGGATGGGGGAAGGAACAGCTGGCTAAACAAATGAGGACAAGAGCAAAATCAGATCCTGTGAAACTTAAGACTTACAGTCATGGTACAAAATGCTTCGAACCCAAGCCCTTCAACTTTCTTCCTCTCTCTCATACATACACAAACTATACTCAACAGATTCCAAAATAAAGATATGTGAGCTGGTGCCTGGCTGGACAAGGTGGGGGTCCACATTAAGGGTGCCACAATACTGCAGTAATTCTCTGGTACCTACTTGAAACCACCAGGCCCACCCAGCCTTTGTGGAAGCAACTGGAGCTTTCTCCTGCCTCGCTTGTGCAGCCTGGCAGCCGGTGCTCTCAACCCAAAGCAACTAACAGTGTTTTGGCGAGGAGTGCAGAGAGGCCATGGGCTAGGCAGTGGCTATGCCTTCTTCAGCTTGCCCTCCACCACCAGCCTCTCATTAAGCTGGCACAGCTGCTTCAAGAAGCCATCGTTGGGGCCAATCTCCCGTTTCTGCCGGACGGTGCTGACAGCACTTTTGACGTCCATGTTCTGCCGAAGCATGAGGTAAGCGATGACAAGGGTCGGTGAGCGACTGTAGCCTTCACGGCAGTGGACAAACACTCGACCTAATTGGCAAAACAAAGAAGAAACAGCTAAGCGAGGGCACAATGTTATGCAAAAGACAATCTGGGCCTCATAATAGGGATATGCATACAATAGAAACTTCAGGGTAAAGATATGTGAATGTGGATGTTGGTGGTAAGGTTGGAAAAGAAAAGCAAATGCAACAGGGGAGGATTTTAAGAGGAGAAGCAGTAAAAGAGAGGACTATAAATGAGTGGCCATATAAATTTGATAAACAGATAAATAAACATACCATTTTCTCTTGCCTGCTATTTCTCCACTCTAAAGTGCTACCTCTACAGGGATCCAAATACACTTTTACCTGTTCTCAACAACCTTCCCCAACCTAGGGACCCTTCAGATGGATAGACTTCAACTCCCAGAATTCCCCAGACAGCATGAACAGGGTTGAGAATTTTGGACACTGAAGTCCACATATCTATAGAATACTCAAACTGGATAAGATTGGTTCAAAGCATATACAAAATTGAAACAACCAATATGGATGTACATGTTCTTAATACAGTTCTTAAATCATACATATTTAGGCTTTTGATGGGGAAGAGGAGAACCAGAAAGCAAAACTCAGATCTAACTGTTACACCACCACTACCCCAGCACTCACCAAGTTTTGAGTTTTGCTGGACTGCCAAGTATGGTTCCCTTCCAAACAATAAAGTTGCTTTTCCCTATAAGCAAAATTTAAAAGTCTTGACCAGAGTACTATCTTCCAGATGTGTTGGATCCTAGTTACTAACATATCCATCCAGCATGGCTAGCAGTCTGCTAATTGAGGATGATGGGAGTTATGGACCAAACACAAAATGTGTTCTGACACTGTTAGAAAGAGCCATCATTTATTTGTCCAGGCGGTCCACCCAGATTCTCTTTTTAACAAAAAGAAATCTCAAAAAGGGGAAAGGGGGGTGGGTGGGAAGCAGAAACAAAACATATATGAACCATTCTCAGAGGTAAGAGAAAGAAGCAATGAGTGTATAGCACATGAACCAGAATTAAAACATGTTGGGATGGAAGACAGAAAAAAGAATCGCCCCTCTTCACCATCTCCAGTAATGAAACCCCCTTGGAGTCTGTTTTGAACACATAGCAATTTTGTTTGCCTTTCCAGTTTACTGGAAATTATTTGACCACCCTATGTCTCAGAAATCCCATTTGGTTACCATCTCTTGTTTTTGCTTTAATTCTCAGATTAAAACACTGCAAATTCCCAAAGGAGCAGGGAGAGAACTTCCATTTCATGCAAGGATGCATTTCCAGCTACCAAATTCTCCTCTTTGCATCTAAACCGATTAGGAAAAGGCCCCTTGTAATTTTCTGAGTCAGTTCCCTTTGGTGCTTTTTCTTCCTGGAAGAAACTCTGTTCTCTCCTAACTCTACCAAAACAGAAAAGAGAAAAATGCCATTTGGCTCCTTTCAGCTCCCCCACAGCATATACCTGGCACAATCAGCTGATTCCTCTCATTTCTACAAGCCTTCTTTCTCTCCTGGCTTTCGTTCAAAACATAGGAATTCTACAAGATGCTGAATGTAGCTATCCTTCCAATGCAAAACTCTGCCCAGAAGGAAATAGCTGTCGCTTCTCTTACCATTTTCTCCTCTTGTATCACCACCATTATGCTTTCAGCTCAACTTATCCCCAATTTTTCAGCCTGACAACAACCCTTTCACATAGATGGATCACTTTAATGGCCAAGTGGAGGTCTGAATTGTGTATGAGTAAACATACATGCAATGGACTGAGAGTGGTGAAAGGACTGTGAGTATGTGTGTGTGTGTATATAAGCATGCATGCTTTGGTCCCAATACACCACTACTGTGCATGCAACCAGATTTACCCAAGAGAAATCCACCCAAGGCAAAGACATTCCCTTGCTTCATTTCCCATGCCAGGACCCCCCACATTTTGGGACATAAGACACATTTGAGATTTGGTGAGTACGATGTAGGCCTAATAACTGCCTCAGGGAGCTAGGTCTTGCTCACTCACCAAACAGCTGATATAGTATCTTGGCTAGTCAGAGAATAAGAGTCAAGTGGGTTTGGTCTGAGATTCACAGGTGGACTGCAGCCATAGGCACCAGGTGAGATGATCAGCCCTATTATTCAGGTGTTAACAGTGTGATGCAGTGTTCACAGATGCCCAAACAACTACAATATCCAGCAATAGCATCTGCAGAACACCAGTATTTTTTAGATTTAAATAAATGACCAAAATCATGCAATACTGCCAATCTTGTGATTCTCATGGTCTCATTTAAAATCTTCAAGCAAGAGTACCAAAATCCTGCAAGAGTTCAGGAGTGAAATTTGCAAAATTTTGGCCATTTAAAAAATACACATTTTTGCATGCTCATACCTTCATGAGCCATCTCACAATGGAGCATGAAAATGTTACTCCCCCATGAAACCCCACCAAAGGCTGCAGTGTTATCTGATCTCAGTGCAACTTTGGTTCAATTCCAGAAGTAGGAAAAAATCTGGGTCAACCCCAACAGGTGCAAGACAAGCCAGAGACTGCCATTCATCTTTCTCCATCCTTGTTTTCCCAGCCCCAAAATTCTATTATGAAGAAATCCACAGCAGTTGCTTCAGATGGAGAAAAGCCATAAGAAGCTAAGAAGAAATGCAAAGCCTGACATTTACAGCATTTTCTTTCCTTTTGTCTTCCCTGTATAAAAGCACAGAACCCACAGCCAACTGCAAATTATCATCAGCAAGCAGACAAAACTGCACTCCTTCTGCAGGAATAACTAGATATAATTTACACATTTCTCATGTTACATCTCCCACACTTCTCTTGGCTCTTAAACTCTAACCTTTCAACGGCTTCTCCCACCCCCTCCCCCAGCTCCCAAGAGACTGCAAAAGATCAGTGAATCCAGGATGGGAAGACATTAAACAGTGGTAGGCAATGTTGTGCCCACATTATACCCCAAACATTTCTCTTAGTGCATCACCAGGCCTTACTTTGTCTTTTGGGAAATGGGTATTTTATGACTGGCCATGCCAGTCGTGGTGGCCATTTAATGTCTCCAATGGGGGCCATTTTGTCCTTCAATGTTGCTAAAATTCCAAATGAATTGAGCCAAAAAGGTCACTGACTTCTAGATTAAGAGATCTCCCTATCTTCCATAACTCCACCCCTCCAGTCAGACCAAGTTATAATGCAACACTTCCATGGAAAGGATGCCTCTGTAAAAGGTTGCCAAAGGACTAACAAAGGAAAGCAGGGCCAAAATGCCTAAAGAATACAGGACAGTTCTAACAAATTGCAGAATTGCATGGTGTAGATGAACAGGCAGGAGATATACATACATATATGCAGGCTTCAAGCCAATCATTAAGTGGTAGCTCCTGAAGTAAAGGTGACTTTTCTTGCCAGGAGAGCAGGGAGAGGAAGCACTTAACTATTATCAATGCAGCCATTTTCTTCTCTCCAGACCCCCTACTTCCCATCTGCTGCCATGCAATCTCTCCACGAGCTGGAGAGATTTAACTCCAGCAATACCTCTAAATACTGAGAAATAATTAATCATGCAAAGCCTCAGTTTGTGACAAAATCATAACTGGATAGTTCATGCAATACCCTGAACCAAACCTAAACAGATGATTTTATGGCTTACCTTGTTCTGTGAACCAGACCAAAGATAAGAAAGTGTATCCAAGCAACTAAGCAAGATAACAATCTGGTCATGCAACAAGGAAAGCCTTTTGGATTTCAATGTCTTACCATCTTTCTGTGCTAATGCCTTATCGATAAAATCAGCAGCTTCTTCAAAATAACGGCTGAGGTTGAACTCCTGGGTGTCATTGGCCTTGATGCCATGGTAGGTGATACCAGTTCCTTCATAAAATTCAGCATTTGTATTCACATGCATGAAAGACTTGCCTTCTGCTGCATTGAGGACATGGGTGATACCCAGGCGTTGTAAGCGCATGACATTTTTGGCTATGAACCTGTAAGAACAATATGAACAAGAATATTTAGAGGGAAGAAATTATCCTGGATCTCCAAGGAAATGCAAGAGAAACTCCATTAACTCATTGCATTAATGGCTCTGAAATCTAGAAAAAAACAGATGGAATTGGCAACAAAATATTATAGTCTGGAGTGCTTCTGTTCAGGTTATTCCATTCTATGCCTGCTGCATCCCAATTTTCTTGCCAAGAGCCAGCATTTCCTAGCCGCAAAGCACACTTATTCATGACAAGGATATTGTTTTGGGGAAAATAAGTTCTCCTCCTTTATGGCTTTTAGCAAAATATTTTTTTATGTTTTTACAAACATCACAGCTACTCCAAGCCCAATGTTAAGTAACAAACATCTGCTTCCATTTGTTTCATGTATGGCATAAAAAAAGCAATTAACATTTTTTTATTCAGAAAAATACAACTACAGTGTTGGCCATGGTTTTTCAAACTGTGTTCCACAGAACTCCAGGGTTCTGCAAGAATTCAATGGGGTTCTGTGAGAGACTAAGGGCAAAACTAAAAATTCACTCAAATGCAGCCAATAATCTATTGCCAGAGCTTTGCCTCTTGATCAGGGGTTCCAGGAATTTGTTTTTAACTAACAGGTTCCACAGCCTTAAAAAGTTTAAAATCCCTGGTGTAGGCTTACATATATTATTTAAAAACAAAACAAATGTCTCGGAAGCTCCCTACCTGAACAATGCCAAAAATCTAGAAAATCCTCTTTAGCAGGACCACCTGCAGTTTTAAGTGCAGCTCCTAGCTATAAAAAAAAGTTACCCATTCTTGCTACTAGGAAGAAATCTACAGTGATGGCCAAGCAGTGTTAGGAAGAGAAGCTCATATTGTTGACCTGGGAAACTGTAGACTTCATGTTTTGAAGAACTCAGTTCACACCGCCTCCCTGGCTCTTCATTTGTTTTGCTTTTTAATTATGTATATGCTGTATTTTTAGCCTTCCTTCAGGCTTGGTAAGTATATTTAAAAAGCAATTTATATTAGCATTTTGTACCACCGCAGTCTTGATATCAAAAAATGAGCTGAAGTGAAGTATTTTTGTAGCCACATTGTGTTTATAAGCTTGCTCCCTCCCTCCTCCTACAGGCCTTGGCAGAGGTCCCCCCAACCACATAAAGATTGCCTCCTCATGCAGGAAGTACTAGACCAAGTTAAAATTTGCCCAATTCACAATTTACAATTCAAACCATGGCTTTAATGTCCAGATGTATAGATAAACCATAATCTAGAACTCAATGAATTCAATGAGACATTCCCTAGAAGAGTAAATCTTACCTTTTGGGGTTAGGGTTACAATACTACAACTGCTGGTTTAAATATCCCTATTCTTCAGTTGAAAACCTCCAGGAAGACTCATAATATTGTGACAAAAATAAATGCAGTAAAAAATAACTCCACTAGTATTTTAAAAACAACAACAATATGCCTGTATGGTTGCTTGTCTTATCAACTACTATATAAATACTCAGAAGTTCCACTGAATTCATGGAGATTTACCTGCAGATCACAGTTTAGCAATGCAGTTTGCAGATAAATCTACTCATATGTCCCTTAAAGTAAATCCCATTTAAAAGAATGAATGATACAGTACTTCAAAATAAACATGCCTAAGATTGCACTGTATCAATCTAGGCATCAGGCTTCATAGCAGGCTCAGCAGTAAATCACAGGTGTCCAGACAGCACCCTTGGCAAAATTTGGCAACAGACTTCTTTCTCCTGCCCTTCTGAATTAACCAGACTAGGTAGCTGAGATACACTTACAGAACGCTTCTCTCTAGCATTAGAATCACTGATTCTCCACTTGCCTGCCTTAGCCTTTATGGACTCAGCCCTTACTCTGGGTAAATAAATCTTTCACCTGGTGCTGAAAAAAATGAAAGATCTCAGGTCTGGGGACTGAGACAAGGAGCCTAATGAATACCAAAGGAAGGGTTTTTACATATACCTCAAGCAGCAAGGGACCAACCCCTGCTTCCAGCCTGGCATTCTCATTTTAAAAAATTAACGTGGGAGTAGACATTCATTTAAATACTCAGGCCTGAGCTGTGTAGGACTTTGGGGGTAAATACAACAACATGGTGGTGAACTGTACTGTCTTATATCTCCCTGCACCGCAGCCATTCAACATTCTTGTCTTTATGGGTTTGGGAAGGCAGAGCAACGGCTGGAGCTGAGGTTTGACAATTCCAAAACCACAGCAACTCACAATTTACTTTCCATAACTGGGTTTTAGCAGGATGATCCAACCAAGCCACTGCCCCAGCTTAAAGCCTCAATGGAGAGACTGGCAAAAGTAGCCTACCCGCAAATGCTAAAACTTAGGATGATTAGTAACTCATGAGAAGGGGAATATACAGATGCCTCTGCCTGCTGCCTTTCCCCAAGGGAAGCTGCAGATTCTTGCCTGCTCTAAATATGGAGTTTGGCTTAGCAAGCCTTGTCAGCAGCAGGTGTCGACACAATGTGATTTCTGCCCAGGGCTCTGAGTAGGGTCACTGTGTTTATGCCATGGTTTTTGTGCTTTTAATCCTTGTACACTGCCCAGAGTCACCTGTGTAAGATAGGTGGCCATATAAATCATATCAATTAAGTGAATAATTTACTCCAGAATAATTTACTCTGGCTCTCAAATCAATGCTACTCTCTGCAGAAGACTATACCAGATAATAAGACTGACTCCCACAAGTTAAAATCATAACCATCTTTTCATTTGTCTGGTTAGTGATTGACCGTTTTGCGTAGAACAAGAGATTACTGAATTGACCAGAAAGGAAGTTTTAGAACAGATATCAGTTAATAAGACTGAAACAAAGCATTCTAAAACAGGTTGGATTACAACTCCAGTTAACTCCAAGTCTGATAATGACTGGCTAAGGCTGATAGAAACTAGAGCTCAACACAATCTCGACAGCTACTTCTATGCTGAAAATAACTGCATAAAAATAACTCAAATCCTTTACTGTATCCATTCTCTGTCCCAAGCACAGCCAGCTAAAGTGTTGGTGCCAAAACTCTTCAAAGGACCTTAGGCTCTGGTGTATGTATTATATATTGTGTTTTTATTTTGCTCTTCTTCAAAGAAACTCTGAGCAGCAGATATGATGATTCTCCCTTCTTCCACCACTGATTGTATTTAAAATAACTCTATACAGTAGGTAAAGCTGAGACACAGTGACTTGGTCCAGATGGAGATTTGAACTCAGGCCTGCTCAGATCTAGTGTGGCAGCCTGATCAGACTGGGTTTTGCAAATGGACTTCCAGGGACATCACCAGAGTTTCTACAATTCCAGGCCAGTGGCCTAGAGGAACAGGATGTAGCAATTTTGCTCAAGCAAGCCTATGATAGGACAATGATTGTAAGAAAGCCATCTAGGGTCCTCTATTTAGACTGCCTTTGAATTCTTACACAGCTGTGAATGTAATAAAAAAAACATGATAACAATTCACAAACTTCACAATAGCTGGTTAGTCACTATCAACAGAAGGAATGAACCTCAGTTTTGGATGTAACTTCCATACTTGTCGTAGTTCTCTTAATTATATAGCTTATCTACATTACTGAAAACCTAAAGCAGTATTTCTCAAAAGACCCAGAATTCCCCAGCCAGCCAGAGTTGAAGTCCACACATCTTAAAGTTCCCCAGGTTGAGAAACACTGACCTAGAAGTTTAAATTCAAAGACCCATTTAAATCTCACAGCTATGCAGCTCTCAGAAACCACAACAGTGAGGGGAATCCTGTGGCCCTCTAAATACTGCTGAATCCCAGTAACCTTCACCTGGTTTCCACGTAATCTCTGTAAGAAACCCAAGATCAAGTACATTTTGCTTTGGCCATTTCTCCTTACAGAGGGCTCCCCTACTATCTGGATTCAACTAAACACTTCCCACAGCCTGCAGCCCTTGTGAGCCTAACACTGCAACACGTTGTCATGGCAACACCTCCCAAGACTTCCTCTTCTCACTAGCTCAGCGTCTGCACTATCTAGCAGAATTTTTTCCCTACCTAATCAGCAACAATAAAAATAATCTGCTTCCTACTTCGGCATACCCACTGGTAACCTGGATGCTGAACTTCCACATAGGGTTTTTTTTTTGGAGTTTTGTTCTTTTGCTTTTCTTAACAAATGTTTTTGTTATTATCTCACCAAATGGGCAATCACTCACCTATCTGCCCAATCTTGTTATTTGTAGATATTCCAGATTTTATTTCTTATAACCCCTAGCCAGAATGGTTAGTTGACCACAGTGGTTGGGAATTATGAGAATTTAAGTTCAACATACCTAGAAGAAGCCAGGTAAGACAAAGATGAGGTACACATCATATAAGACCTACACTAGAAGACATATATACATTAAGTCAAAAATGATTCATGTTCATACTCTAGAACGGCGTTTCTCAACCTTGGAAACTTAAAAGATGTGTGGACTTCAACTCCCAGAATTCCCCAGCCAGCATGCTGGCTGGGGAATTCTGGGAGTTGAAGTCCACACATCTTAAAGTTCCCAAGCTTGAGAAACACTGCTCTAGAACAAAGTTCACCGAGGTCAGTGGAACTTACAACTGGAACAG